CGCAGCGATCTGCGGTCTGCCCTGGCTTCTCCCTTTCTAGATGGGGAGAGCAGAGGGAAGGATCAGGGCGTAGAAGCTATTAAAGGTATGCAAGATTAAAGGAGAGATAGGGTGAGTTTCTGTGCTCTGCCATCCAGCTGGGGAAGCAGGGTGGTGGAAGACTGAGCCAAGTTCTGGTGGATGGCGGCTGCACCCACATCCGCAGCGATCTGCGGTCTGCCCTGGCTTCTCCCTTTCTAGATGGGGAGAGCAGAGGGAAGGATCAGGGCGTAGAAGCTATTAAAGGTATGCAAGATTAAAGGAGAGATAGGGTGAGTTTCTGTGCTCTGCCATCCAGCTGGGGAAGCAGGGTGGTGGAAGACTGAGCCAAGTTCTGGTGGATGGCGGCTGCACCCACATCCCAGATTTTTGGTTGTTTCATCCTCCCAAATTTCCTTTTTTTTGCAAACCGATCCCCTGTGGTTGTTATGGCTTCACTTGTCTTACCCCAAGAACACAGAGTGGGTGGCTTCAGGCTGGATCTGGCGGTAGTTTCTGCTGCCGTATGGTGCCCTCAGCAGCCCAGCTGCTCAGAGGTTCACTGGCTTGCTGTTTTCGTTTTCTTTTTCCTTTTTTTTTTTTTTAAATTTCCATTAATCAAGCACGTGTTACACAGGTAATGATCAGTGCACCCGGTGAGGATGCCTTTCATTATGCATCCTCCCTTCCCATATGCCCCCAGCTCATACCTGGTCTTGCAGCCAGCACATGTCTGTGCTTGCCAGAGGAGAGTGAGCCAGGGTCTGCACCCAGCAGGCAGGGTGCAAGGGCAGAGCCCACCACTGATGCTTTCAGGAGCCCTGAGTGCATGGGGGGGGGTTTGCAGGGGCTGGTCAGGTGCCTGGGCCCTGCCTGCAGCAGCCTCAGTACCTCCAATCTAGAGCATCAGCAGGGACCACGGAAAGGCTGTGCCTCCAGAGCATCTCCTCCGCATGGGATCGCACCTCTGGAAAGGCACTGGTGTGCAAGGAAGTCGCTAGCTGAGTGTCCTGGGAGGCCATGGTTCATTTTTCCCTGCTGACTGTGCTGCCCTTGGAGACCCTGGCTCAGAAGAAGCTGGGAGAGGCCGTGCCAGCAGCTCCAGGGTGGGTTATCAGCCCCTGGAAGGAGCACACAGTGGTTTCTTCCTTCCTGGGATTATCTCAGCCCCTGAGGCATGGTGTCCGGCACCGTGCCCAGAGAAAGGCAGCGGGTCTGGCAGTGTCCTGCTCCTTGCATCACTGTTGACTCCAGGGGTGCAGGACGCTTTCCAGGTCCAAGGGAAATATTTAATAGGCAAGTTTCCATGAGCATCTGTCACCCAGTCGGATGGGGACAGGCGGATTCTTTAAGGATTCTTGGCAGAACAATGACACAATGACATTGTTATTGAAATCAAAACTTTATTTTAACCTGGACCCATTGCAGATCAGGTCATTTTAACACATAAACCATGACTTCCAGCACACATACAAAACTCACTCTGTCCTGGGAGGGAGCAGCTGGCTGTGGAGATGTCCATGCCCCCTGGGATCCTGGCCCTGCTGCCCAGCAGTAGCAGCTCCGGTCCAAGTCCCACCTGGGACATGCTTTTATAGGCAGGGAGCTCTGTGCTCTTACGTGTCCCTGTTTGCAACGTGAGTCACTCTGATTGACCCAGGTGCCCAGGACCCTTTCAGAGGACAAGTGAGGATGTGACCCACTTGTCTGTGGCTGCCTGCCCCACAGGATGGCACACTGGGGGTTGGGAGTGGGGCACACTGGTCCCAGCTTCCCTGCGAAGCCTGAGTACGCAGTGTGCACAGATGTTGACAATGTGACTCGGAGGAGAGGGCGCCCGGGGAGAGGCAAATGCCCTCTGCAATGGACAACTTGGCTCCAAGGCCAGCACAGCTCGAGTTCAGATTTCACAGCATCAAACCAGATCCCAGCCCTGAACTGGCTGCCATGTCCGATGGAGGCTAGGGAGAGCTCTGGGAGGAGGTGACCGTGTTTGAAGTTCTGTCTTTCTGCAGTGGTGCTACAAGAGGGAGTGTGTGCCTTTTGGCACCCGACCAGAGGGCGTGGATGGTGCCTGGGGAGCCTGGTCGTCCTGGGGAGAGTGCAGCAGGACGTGTGGCGGAGGGGTATCATCATCCGTTCGCCATTGCGACAGCCCTCGGTAGGTGTACACGTGCGTGGCTGTGTTGGCGTGGCCCTGCCTTGTCCTGGCTGTACAGCATCGCTGTTCAGGTCAGCGGGGAAGGCAGCAGCCAGGCGCCCGTGCAGCTTTGTGCTCGGTTCCCAGGAGGGTCTTGGCTCCTGCAGGCAAATTCCCGTGTCCTGCTGTCACAGCAGCTCAGGGCTTTGCTTTGGTGTTGGCTCTGCAGCCACAGACCCAAAGTCACTTGTACAACTCCACTGTTTGCTTGCAGCCGAGCGTGTGAGGTCTGCTGGAGGACTGCACTGCTGCAATAGCTCCTCCAGGCAGGATCCGTCCTTGCAGTGGAGCAGGGTTGGGAAAAGCCATTGTACACCTGCAAACTTAGGGTAACTGCCTGCCCCAAACGTGGCTCCCTGCCCTAAGCTGGTTTTCCCATCTCATTCCTGGTTTGCCAGGCCCACCATCGGAGGAAAGTACTGCCTGGGAGAGCGGAAGCGATACCGGTCCTGCAACACCGACGTGAGTAGTGCTGGGCTGGGGGAGAGGAGCAGCGGTGGGCTAGCAGGGCTTTGCTGGTAGGGCTGGCAATGCAGCGTCTCAGCAAGGAGTTGGGGATGAGCTCTCTCCACGTGGATGCGGGGTGTTATGTGCAGCCATGGGACCCACGGGAGGAGGCGACTGGGTGGGGGTGAGCTGCGCTGTGCCGGCAGCAATCCTGCAGTGGGGAAAGCTGAGCAGGACGATGCATGCCCGCACCGGCTGCGAGCTGACTCAGAGGGAGGGTGAGCGGTACATACCTGCGGGCTTTCAGCATCAAGAAAGGGCCCAAAAAGAAAAGATAACGAGGGAAGGGAGGAGAGATCAGAGGGATCAGAGGCTTCCAGCACTGACATGACAGTGGTTGCCTCTCAAAAGCTGCAAGTGCAGGCCTGGTCAGGTGAGAGCAGCTCACGAAATGCGGCATAGCACCCTGCTTCCCAGGGCTGAGTGTTAAACCTCAAGGGAAGCAAAGAAATAACTGTGCTACAGGGAAGCTCAGTGAAGCTTTGGACCTGAGAAATGGTAGCTTTAACATCCACAGGCTGGGAGTGAGGAAAATGGCTCTGCACTGCTTCCCCTGGGCTTTGCATCTCTCTTTTAAAGGATTGCTCACAAGAGCAAGTGTTGCGTCTGCAGACAGACCAGCTGGGGCCCAAGGGATTGTGCCTTTAGTCTTCAAATAGTGTCTAGCTTTGCAGGAAGGATGCTCCTGCTATACTGTAGCAGTGTCCAGTTGTCAGGGCTGGTGTCCATCTCCTCAAAGGGCTGGTGCTAGTTGCAGCTGGGAGCCCTGTAGGAGCTCCTGCCCTTCCAGCAGGTAAGGCAGGAGCTGTTCTGCCCGCGCACTGATGGCTGGCTGTGTGACCACAGGACTGCCCGCCGGGCTCCCAAGACTTCCGAGAGCTGCAGTGTGCCGAATTCGATAACGTCCCCTTCCGAGGGAAGTACTACACCTGGAAGACATACCGTGGAGGTGAGTGCTGGGGCTGGGCTGAGCATCCCTTGGCTCAGGCAGAACTGGAGCAGGGCTGTGCAGGGCTTTGCTCTCCCCACCTCTCAGAAGGGACAGGTCTCATGATCCAAGTGGTCTGGTAGGCAGTTAGTCACCATCTCCGCTAGCCCAGGTCCCACAGGCTGCCCACAACGTGTTCCTGAGTCGTGCTGCCTCCCTCTCGCATGACTGTGGATCCAAGTGCATCCCTCCAGGCAGCTTCCCCCAGCGCTGGCCCATGACCATCCTGCCGTGCGCCCAGTCCCAGGTCACCTACCCCTGTGCAATCACCCTGTAACTTCCTTGCTCTGCAAGAAACAATTCCAGCAGCATCAGAGCCCTTTAGCTTCTTTCCTCAAGTCTTTTTCCTTAACTGCTGAGGGAGCAAAGAGGAAGAGGAGGCAAGAGAAGGGAGTTGTTAGTGTCTGGTACCTGGGGCAGGGTAGAAAATGGGGCAGCCCTCCCTGCACAGGCAGGTAAAGCTTCCAGCTCCTGCATGGGCAGAAGGGATGCGAAGTGGTGGATTCTCCAAAGAGCAGCACTCCCCTCTTCCTGAGGTCAGTGCTCCTGTGTCCTGCAGAAGTGTCTAGCAAGGAGAGGGGGCAGGAGGAGGCCTCTGCGGCAGAAATCTCTTAATAATGAGAAAGAACAGTGCGTCTCCTTCATGTAGTTAATGAACTTGACTGGGGAAATCCTTCGCAGCTGTGTAAATAAGCACACCTCCCAGCGGGCTCTTGCAGCTGGAGCAGATGTGCTGAGGCTGCAGGGGATGGATCAATAAAAATGTAATAAAATTGCAAAGCAGTAAGTCACACAAAGACCCCAGTGAATGCCAAGGTGGAAGACAGCCCCGCGGGCTGGATCTGCCCTTGCTTGGACCTCTCTCTTCCCCATGGCCCCGTGGTTTTAGTCCAGGGGACGATTGGCCAGTTGAATGTTAGCCCTTGAATTGTAATCTGGCCCTGACACTGATTTTTGCTTTGGCTTTCAAAAAACGCCCCTTCCTCTGTCTCTGCTTCAACTTCCTCTTCCATAAAATAAGGTGATGAAACCTGTCCCCTTCCCAGGAGGCTCTGAGCGTTGGCACGATCGTGGCTTGAAGGGGTCTGGGAGCACCCTGTCTCAGCTCTCCAGGTTGGCTGTGGGTAATGGTCACGAAGAGCTGTGTTGTTTAGCAGTTACGTTTTGTTTATTCAGTGTCAAAGGGAATCGCTGTCTTCCTCTGTGGTGGCCCAGGTAGGGAAACTGAGGCATGTTCACAAGATCAGAGAGGTGCTGGAAGCTGCAGCTCCTCAGCACGTTCTGGGAGCCAAAGCCCTGGCCAGGAGGGCACCAGACTCCCTGCCCTTGAGAACTCATGTGCTGACCCCCACCTGCGTGGGACCTGGCAGTGGGTGACTCCTGCTGGGATTAGCAGGGTTAGGCTCTTTGCAGCATGGGCTGTCCACACGGGACCCTCAGATCGGTTGGGACCATGGAGGTGGTGAGTTGTCACCAATGTGCCCCCCACCTACGAACACCTTTGCCTGAGTGTGGGTGCTCTGGAAGAACTGAGGAGACCTGATTGCAGCCATTCGGTACATAAAGGGAGCTTCTAAGAAAGGCAGAGAGAGATGTTTTACCAAGGCCTGTACTGACAGGACACAGGGCAACAGTCTTACACTGAAAGAGGGTGGCTTTAGAGTGGACAGGAGGTGTACAATGAGACTGGTGAGGCAGTGGGACAGGTTGCCCAGAGAAGCTGTGGATGCCCCATCCCTGGAAGTGTCCAAGGCCAGGCTGGATGGAGCTTGGAGCAACCTGGTCTAGTGGAAGGTGTCCCTGCCCATGGCAGGGGGGTTGGAACTAGATGGGCTTTGAAGGTCCCTTCCAACCCAAACCATTCTATGATTCTGTGGCTGTGACTTCAGCAGCACATATACTCGCCTCTTCACCTGCCTGCAGCATTTTGTGCTTTTTGGTGTTGTTTGGGTGTCAGAGGTGCATCTGTGGGGGAGGCAGGGAACATCCCTTCCACCTTCACCCACAGATCAGACCCCCAGGGAATGCCCCCCCCCTTGGCTTCTCCTTGCCACAGGTGTTTTGCAGTCAGGACCCGTGTCTTCCCCTGTAACCCCTGTGCTATCAGGCCCCTCTACCCCAGCATCAGGGCGGCATAGAGGCGGCATAGAGACGGCTGGCTGCCGTCTCCCTCACTCCCTTCTGGGCTCTTCCAGTGGTCCAGAGAGCTCTGGGGTAGTGAGTGTCAGTCCCTCCTTCCCTGCAGGCACAAGCAACCCCTCCAGGATCCATCCTTGTTGGCAGCCTCATCCCAGGCAGTCTGCCGTGCAGCATATCTGCTCTTCAGGTTGCTTTTGGGCATGTTTCCCTTCTCTGGGAGCCGTTCACCACCCTGGCGTTCTGCTGAGCCTCTTCCCCTGCTCAGCTCAGCCACTGCCTTTGGCACTGCACCCCTGAGCCATCCCCTTGCCAAAATGTGTGGTCATGCAGGGGTGCCTGTGCCATTTGCCCTTCAGATGCCAGCCCCACGGTATTTTGGGGAAATATCCCAGGCACAGAGCACCCCCACCCTGAAGACAAGGAGTTACCCCACTGGCTTAGTTAGGGGCAGGCACCGATCCCACAGGGAGTTTGGGAAGGGAAGGAGCCACCTGCCTGACCCCAGCCGCTGGGTCACCAGCAAGTTGGGGTCGGGTTTTGCACGGGGCCGGTATGATGTGTTTTCCTGGTGATGATTTATAATGGTCCTGGAGCCCAGATCCCGGGATCTGAAGGCACAGCCCCAGCAAGAAGCGCTGAGCTCAGCCTTTCGGAGTTCAACAGTCAGCAGATACCTCGTGGAATGTGCCTTTAATTGTTTGTTTATTTTGCTTTATTCGCTTAGTTATTCATTTTGCTCTTGGCGGATGCAAGAGCCGAGGGAGAGTGGAGCAGCACACGGGGCTGGGAGAGGGATGGGGAGGAGCAGAGGCTTGCAGAAAACAGGAGATTGCTTATCATAAATTATAATGCGCTTTAATTCTTCTGTGGGACAGAGCAGGCAGGAGGAACAAAACATCCTCTGAGGCACTGCGTAGCCAACTGAAAATGCTATGTTCTGTTCTAGTTTAACAGCTATATTAAATATTAAAAGGAGGACCCACAGCAGACCTGGCTGTTGCTGACTCCAAGTGAAGGGTGGGCTGCTCTGTGCCTGGCCAGGGAGTTTGCCTCTCTGGGGGCAGGGGGCTAGGGACCTGCACAGCGTTACAGCAGACCCTGTGCTCTTTGGGGTTTTATGGTTTTATCTGCTGCTTGTTTCCCAGTCAATTAGTAACATTCACCAGGCAGTGGGCAGGCTGAGGGGGTCCCACTCATTCTGTGGGAAGTGGGTTTTTATCCCATGGTGGTGAACCCACCTTGCACCAGTGACAGTGGTCACTGCAGAGCCTCTCCTGCCCCTCCGCTGCCAAATGCCCCACGGGGCTTGTGCTGAGGATCCTGCAGACGCGGGTATCGCTGGGCAGCAGTGAGCCAGTCTGGGAGGTTGCAGGGTGCTGCCTTGCTCTGCCAGGCCTCAGGCTCCCACCCCAAAAAGCACAGGTCCCACCAAACTATTCACATGCTGGGAGATGATGGGCTGGATCCTGGTGAAAATATGGTCCTTAATTCCCCATCCTCAGGAATGTCAAGGCGTGTTGTGGTATTTCAGTCGTTTTGGGGTCCAAAGCTCATCCTGGCCATGTTGCTGTGGTCAGTGTTTCTGTCGTGCGGACAAGCAGTTGTCACTGATGTCAGGCTTTAGAATGGTGCCTTTTTAAGGAACCACCTAAAGAAGGACGAGGTGATACCCAGACCACGTGAGTACCTCTTGGCTGTCTGAGTGCCAAGGAGAGTCGAGTTCCCGAGAGACGCTGGACAGTGATACCAGCTGCCCTTTCCTCTGATCAGTGGGAGGGTGACCTGGCTGCCAAGGACAAACGCAGCCTGGAAATTGTCACCAGGGGTGGTGTGTTGGGGACCGGTCCTGAGCTCCAGCAGCCCAGATGACTCACAGGAGCAGCTGCAGTCAGGATACAGATACCAATGCAGGGTCACCCCACTCTCTCCCACTTCCTCCTTCATTCTCCCTCTCCCTATTTCTCTTCCATAAGACTTTTTCTTTTAAGGGCAGAAACCCCCAGCCTTTCCTAAGTGGCTGGATGAGGAGCGCCAGCCAGACTCATCCCACATGGAGCAGCAGCTGGGTGACAGTATGACCACAGGAGCCCCAAGTCCCAGCTTCATGCATGGTCCTCCAAGTCCAGCACCCTCTGTCAGCTCTTGCAGGCAGGAAAGTGATGGGTGCTGACTTCCTTCTGCTCAGCGGCTGCTTCCCAAGCTCCCTCTGTGCTCACAAGATGCTCAGAGCCACCGGGACACAAGGCCTCCATCAGCAGGGATGGGTCTTTGCCGGTGATGGGTTGGAACCAGAGCAACTGTTGCAGCATGGAGGGCTTGCTCTCTTCCGTGCACTTCGCTCCCACTCTGCTGATCTCTCTTCCAAAGGAGGTTGAATCATTAGGGATTTAAGCGTACACGCGCACGCGTGCGCACACATGAATTCTCCTGGGCTCCAGCAAGAGGAGAGCAATGAGGAAACCATGAGTACCCCGGCTCTGCAGTGAGCTGAGTTCATGCACTCACACCATTTTTGCAGCCCTGTGACAAAGGCAGGATGCTTAAGGCAAAGGAAGAAATGTGGCTTCCTGCCACCAACCCCCCATCTTTTATTTTCCCTCTTTCTTTTATTTTATTTTTCCTTCTTCTAGTTGTGTTTTTTGTTCCAGTTTGCCCCACGGGCTCCTCTTTCTGGGCTGTGACGATTACACTCGGGGCTGCTTGCTGATGGAGGAGGCTGAGTGCCAGCCTGGGCGTGGGGCAGCAGTGGTGGGGAGTTATGATAAAAAAGGAGGATCCTGCAGCTGATTAGGGACCGCCAAAATGGAGCCAGATCTGGAAGCAAGGTGGAAACAGTCTGTGGCAGGGGTGAGCTGACACCAGGGAACTGCAGCAAAGTGTCTGCAGTGGGTCTCTCTTTTCCTTACAGTGGGAGACAAGGAAGGGAACAGGGAGTGCATGGGAATAGCTTAGCAAACCCATCTGAGAGGCCTGAAATGAAAGCCCAAGTTTCTGGCTGTTCCTCAGTTCTGTGTCATTGCATAGTCTGCCCTGCACTTCAGTGACAGCAAGAGAGCACAGCCTCGGCAAGCTGCGCACGGGCAGGGACGAAGGGTCCCACGTGTGACGAAGTGCTGCTAGCAGCGAGGCCACCAGCCGGAGAGATGCTCCCGAGCCAGCGAGCAGTGGCTGAATCACGGCTACCTCTCAGGAAGGGCCAGCTCAAGCCCGGCTCCCAGGCTGGTGGGACAGTTGCATGCTCGGGGCGTGCAGTTGCTGGTTGGATTTTCCAGCACAGCCTCTCCAAGCTGGAAGATCCTGCAGCCAGCGTAGGTCCCTTGTGACTTGTGTTTTCTTCTCTTGCTGGTGATGCTTTGCAGTCGAGGTCTGGCTGGACAGACCTGGGGTCCAGGCGTGCCATAGTTAGATGGCTGGGGAGGTTTTCAGGGTCATGCGCTGTCCCCCTCGGTGGCCGTAGAGCTCCCTGGCCAGGCAGGGGAGAGCCCGGTGCGCTGCGGAGGGGCTTGGCTCTCCAGAAGGAAGGGAGAGAGCACCTTCTCTAGGGGCTTGCCCAGGCATCCTGCTGGACAGCATGCCTCCAAGCTGCTGAATTCCCCTCTCATGTCTCCTCCTCTTTTCCCTCTCCTCGCTTTGCTCGCTCTTCCCCAGGTGCATTCGGGTGCTCCCAGGCACAGCTGTGCCCCCCCTCCCCTCCGTCTGCCCTTTGATGTGCTGTATCGAGTTACAAGTTTTGCACATTTTGGTTGCCTCAGTCCTAGGTGCTTCCCAGCTCTGGCACAGGGCTCACCACTGTTGCCAGTGCCTGCAGGAACAAACTGCCACAGTTCAGGCATGCACCTCTCTGCCAGGGTCATGAGGCTGTTGGGTCTCCTTGGGGTGCTTAGTAAAGGCAGCAAATGCCACGATCTGCACCAGCATTTGATAAAATCCAATGACAGGAGGCAGGAAACTGCTCTGCTCAGGTGTCTCCTTCCATAACCAGTCCCACCTCTGTCTCCCAGGCACCGTAAGCTAATATCCAGATATCCAGCCTCTGTTCCTTAGATGGTGATTTGGCAAAGGGTGTTGGGAAGCAGGTGTTTTAGCTATGACTTGAGCATCCTTCTCCTTCATCTCGTTCTGTTGTTGTCATCTTCACTGTGAAGGACACAGTATCCACCAGCCTTGAACAGAAATGGTTGCTGTGGCCTAGTAACTGGTTTAGGAGCTGAAAAACTTGGTTGCTGTGGTCTAGTAGCTGAAAAACCTTGGACAAGTCACTTAAGAGCTGCTGCCTCTGTTTCCCTGTCTGTAAAATGGGCACAGAGGTGCCAACAGCCCTTCTAAAGTGCCAGGAGACCCAGGAGTGACCAACACCAGATAAGAACAAGTCAGTTTGTTTCCTTCCTTGCCACATACAGGCCATGTGTCCCAGGCTGTGCAGAAGGGACCGTGTCTCACCACGTGTCGGTGTCTAGTTCAAGGATCTTGACTCAGTGCTGTTAATAAGGAGGGTGCCTGGGTCCCTCTGTGGGTCCCTCCATTCATCAGGGACACCCTCCTGAGTACCTGGAGCTGTGCAGTGGGCGAGGCACAGGATGGAGGCGTGGGGAGGCCGAGGGTAAGGCAGCCCTTATCCAGGTCTGGCTCCCCACGTCTTTCCTCTCTCTCCTCTCCATCAGCATCATTTGAACCTGTGCTTCTTTCCAAGGGGGTGTGAAAGCCTGTTCCCTCAACTGCCTGGCCGAGGGTTTCAATTTCTACACAGAACGAGCCGCAGCCGTGGTGGACGGGACACCATGCCGGCAGGACTCCAACGACATCTGCGTCAATGGGGAGTGCAAGGTGCTGCCAGGGTGTGCGACAGCCTCGGGATGGGGAGGCAAGGGCAGACCCTCGGGCAGGAGGGGTCTCCTGCCCACACACACTGGGGCACCCCTCTACCCAGGCACCTGGTTCACCTATGAGAGCAGGAGCACATCCATCTCTGGGCTTGTGTCCATCCACTCTCCATGCCCCAGCTGCCACACTGGCCTGCGTTAGTGCTGGGTCTCTGCATTTACACCCACGTAGCCCCAGACACTTGATATTTCCCTTGAAATGGGATCTGGAGGGCTATAAAAGTTTAATTATAAGAAAGCGCTGTGGGGGTGGTGAATGTTCCCCAGCAGGCAGGCAGACAGGCTCCCTCTCTGTCTCTGTCTGTCTCCCTTCCTGTGTCTCTGGGATATTTTTGTCTCTGTGGGGCTGAATATGCTGTGGAACAAAAGGAGGATTGCACCATAGGTAGCCACAGCCATGCTGGTGACCTGCTTGCTAGCCCACATACTGTGGGGCAGAGCCAGAGGCTTCACATGGGCTCACTGCCACTATGCTGGTGCTGCAGCTCCACCAGCTCAGCGCAGGCACCCTGACCTCTGCCTTATCCCACAGTCCCAGGATTTCTGCCTGTGCCCCCCCGTCCTTAGAAGGAGACCCCCCAGGGCCATCCCTGGGGAGGGGTGGCAGAAAGATGGTGCTGGGCAGAGGTGATGTTGCTGAGCTGGTGTACAGTGCAATGGAGGGGAGTGATGTGGAGCCCCAGGGATGGGTTTCCTGGGTGCTGCGAGTGTGGGGAGGACAAGGCCCCACCAAGATGGCTAATTCGCTGCTGCTCCTTCCTCCAGCATGTGGGCTGTGACCGTGTCCTGGGCTCTGACTCGAAGGAGGACAAGTGTCGTGTGTGCGGGGGAGACGGCAGCTCCTGTGAGACTGTTGAGGGCGTCTTCAACCAGTCCCTGCCGGAGGGAGGTAGGGAGAAAGCAGCGTGGCCAGCATCACCCACCCTCGAGTCCCTCCTTGACTTCACCTGCTCCTGGGGACACACAGGGACATATCCCAGAGAAACACCCCACAGGGTAGGACCAGGCAGCAAGCAGGAAGCAATTGCTGCTGTTCACTAAATCGTGCCCCAGCCACCACTGACACCCAAGTCCCTGACACAGAGTGCCAAGCTCCGTCCCTCCTCCCCAGTGCACGATGCCCTCAAGCCAGGCTGTGAGGATGCCCATGGAGTTCCCAGCTCCCCAGCACCTCCCCATCATGGCCAGTCCCACCATGACAGCCTGCACTGCAAAGCAAGCAAGCCACTGTGCTGGCACGCCATAGTGCTTTCTCCAGTGAATTGCCATGGGTGGCTGAAGGAACACCTCTCCACTGCCAGCAGCTCGTTCAGTGTTTTGGTCACGGGTAACGGGGTCGTACACACTCCCATCCAACCCAGGGCGGGGTTGGTTCCCGGCTCGGAGGCTGAGCATCACTTCTCACCAGCCCTGGGTTGTCTCACAGGTTACGAGGAGGTGATCCAGATTCCCAAGGGCTCCGTCCACATCGACATCCGGGAGCTGAACCTCTCCATCAACTACCTAGGTGAGATGGGGCTGGGAGATACTGAAATCCCATCCAGACACCCCTTGGTCTGCCATTTTCCTGCGGTTAATAGGGTGTGGGAAAGACCCAGCAAGGAAAAGCTTCCACTGCAGCAGAGGATGGGGTTGGGGGTCCCAGCTAGGGGCTGGGGGCAGAGGAAGGCAGCAGGGCCTGCTGTCAGGGAAGCGTGTCCCATGTCAGTGTGGCCCACACAGCCCCTGTCTCGCTGCATCACTGCCTCTGTCCTGCGCTCACTGCTCAGCAGTGTAACCCTGAGCAAACCCCACACCCCACCATTCCTGGCACTGGCTGTGGCTCCTTGGCATTCCCCCCTCTGCCAGCATGTTGGTCTGGGGATTAAAAATAGACCTGCTCACACTTTCCTTGGGTTTAATTTTCCAGCCAGACTGTGGCTTGTTCTTGCAATGGGCTTTTTTCTTTCCCCTTTTCTTCTCTTTCTGCCCTCCAAGTGATGGGCAGTGGAGATGGAGGGGTGGGCAGGGATGCTCACTGCTGACTTGCTGCTGGCTGCCTCCGCACTGCGGCTCTCCGGGAGCAGGAGCCTGCGTTGGTAGGAGGTTACAGCGGGGCTTTCCTGGCAGCATCCCTTCAGGCCAGCTCCCTTTGCTGGGTTAGGAGATGTTGGCATCCCTCCCTGCCCAGCCCACGTATACTGGGGACTCCTCGTGTCCATCCAGACTGGATGTCTGTGCACACAAGGCACAGCCCAAGCTCGTATCACTATCAGCTGCTGCCACCAGCCTCCCACTCCAGGGTCTGTCCCTGCACCTTGGTGGGAGTGGAGGGATTATCCGCCACCCTCCTCAGTACAGAGCATCCTCCCCGCCCCAGAGCATCATGGCAATGAGGTCATTGCCAGCAGTGAGGGCAGGAGTGATGTAGAGCTGGGTGCCAGCATGGTGTTGGTGGCAGAGAGAAAGCAGGGAGGATGTGGGAATACGAGGCGATCTCCTCCAAACAAGCTGATCTCCAAACGAGCCGATCCCCCTCTAGTGACTCGCTTGGGCAACCACAGCCAGGCTGCTGGGGACCAGCCTCCTCCAGTAGCCCCAGCAGCCAAGACCCAGTTTGCACAGCTGGGTTTGAGCCTGGCTTCATGGCCACCACTTCTCAGACTGCCAGGTGTCCCCGTCACCACCCCGGGCAGCTGACTGAGCTCCCCACAGCAGCATCCTTCCGCAGAGAGGTGATGGGCAGATTGAGGCAAGACCATGGCTACTTTAGTCCCACCTCTGCTCGTGACTTTCTGTGTGACTCTGACCCAGGCACCTACTTTATTTGCCCTACCTATTCCCTCCCTGTACAATGATGCTGATGACACTCACCCTCTGCTGTAGCCTGGCAGATGAGAAGTCGCCAGCTGAAGCCGGATCCAGGTACGTTCCGCCTTTCTGCTAACCCTTGCTCCTCTGTCCTCGCAGCACTGAGAGGGGAGAGCGGCGAGTATTACATCAACGGGAAGCTCTCCATTGACCCCCCGCGACGCTTCGACATCGCAGGCACCACATTCCACTACAGGAGATCCCCAGAGGAGCCTGAGTCCCTGGAGGCCTTGGGACCCACCAACGTCACCCTCTTTGTCATGGTTGGTAACATGGGTCCTTCATACCCCCACCTGGTGTGGGCCTGGGCTGGGCTGAGACCTTGCCGTGACAACATGGGAATTGGAGCTAATCAGCCCCTGTCCTTGCTGTCCAGAGTAAAGGGTCACAGAGATCAGAGGTAGATTGGGCTAAATTCTCACGTCTCCCTCCCTAGTCTGCCAGGCTTTGGAACGATTCAGTCTTTAAGTGCACGGGAACTTGTTCTCTGATTGTGTCACCTTCATGGCTGCAGCAGTGTCATCACTGGTGGCTGCCATGTCAGTGCTGGAAGGGACTGGAAAGGGAAGGGGGGGAGATTTCAGCTGCCCTGGATTTTAGAGAGTGCACTGAGGCCATGGGATACCATCCGGATGGTCACGACCATGCTGGACTTCGGTGGCACTGATGCCTCGGTGGTGCCTTTCTCCACAGGTCCTTGTGCGGACAGAGCTGCAGGGGATCCGGTACAAGTTCAATGCACCCATCGGCAGGGATGGCTCGAACCAGTACTCCTGGCACTACACCCCGTGGACAAAATGCTCAGTGCTGTGTGCAGGGGGTGAGGTTTGACCCCATGTTGGCTGGGGGACACATGTATCTGCACTCTCGTAACTCCCACACACTGTGTCCATGAGACAGCACATGGACATCAGCATCTGCTTTGCTCTGAAGGAGATCTCGGGTTCCTACCTACCCCCACCCTGCGCTCGGCCACACGCGAGCTGGTGTCACCGTGCTCTTGTGGGCAGTGTCAGGGCAAACCTCCTGGATGCGGTTCTTCAGCTGGACCGCAGGTGTAGGTGGTAGAGGTGATGGAAGGTGGCATGATACGCTTGAAATTCGTTTACTTGTGCCATGCAGGACAGTTAGCCGACTGCAGCAGCCCCTCTGGCCTTCAGATCTACACGTTTTTGAACTGAAATACTGCTGATGCTTTCCTGAATCCCTTGGGCTGGTTCCCGTGGGGATTGACACAAAGGTTTGCGCCATGTCTCGTGACTCTGGAAAACCTGGGTGTGAGTGACTGAGCTGGAGTTCAGAAGAGAGAGGCAGTTTCAAAAGCGAGGCTTAATAATGTTCCCTGCTTAAAGCTAAGGGCCCTGGACCTGGTCTTGTGTGCTAGGCCTTGACAAAGTGCTGCCACCTCTTGTTCCAGCTATTCCTCTCAGTACTGCCCAGAAAGTGTCACAAGACCAAGGTTAGAACAGGTTTATTTGAGGACAAGATCCCAGGAACACTTTGATCCTCCATCCTCTGCAAACTCTGCTGGGTCCTGCCCTGGCTGGTGAGCCTGCACCCCATCCATGTTTTTGTGGAGATGTTAGAGGCAAAGGAGACCTTGGTTTTGAGTAGAGAAGGAGGTTCATGCTTGAGGAGGTGTAGTGACAAGTGGCTGTCCCACCACATTGCCCACATGGGAGCAGAGCTGGGGGGCTCATACCTGCAGCCTGGCTCAGCACTAGCCTCAGGGTCCTACCCTCTTTCCCCCTCGCCTCTTTTTCTTGGTAGGCAGCCAGATCCAGTCTGTGGTATGCAAGAAGCTATCTGATGGTTCAACTGTCTTCAACCATTTCTGTAGCCCTGAAACCAAAATGCCAGAGCGGCAGAGGCCGTGCAATACCGAACCGTGCCCCCCGGCGTGAGTACCACAGCTTGGAGCAGATTGAGGGAGCGTGGGTGGAAAAGCCAGGGTGGAGGAGGGTGAAATTGCCCCCTTTCTGCCATTCGCAAGTCAGAGTCCCCTGCCACAGTACCCAGGGGTGACACTACCTGGCCAGAGCAGCTCTGCTGGGGAGGGGGAACAATTTTCTCCTCTGTGCCCCATCACGAGCACAGTACAGTGTGCAGCCTGCACAGCCCAAGTGCATCACTGCCAGGAAGGGGCAGTAGGGATGCAGGGAGCAGAAACCTGTCTCCACCACAGTCTCCTAGCAGACTGTGCAGGAGGCTACACCGTGCCTTGCTCGGTGAGAGATGTGCTGAGCACATGGCCTGTTGGCCGAGGATGGTCCCTGTAGTGTGACCTCCTCCCTGTGCTGCTGTGGTACTTGCAGAAAGGAGCCCTCCCCATCTGGTCCTTTGGTGCACAGCAGATACTCAGCACAGTCTCTCAGAAATTGTCCCAGCCCTCCCATGACTGGCCCCTGCCCCTCACTTGAAGGGGAAAGGGAGATGTGGAGGAACTCTGGTTCAACCAGAGCTGCCTGGGAGGCTGCAGCCAGAGTGGGAATAGGGCTGTGTACAGGAGTATGGGGGCAAGCATGGACCACCGTGCCCTTCACACGTTTTGCTCTTTTACCTGTCTCCAGCTGGGTGATTGGGAACTGGTCTGAATGCAGCCGAAGTTGCAACGAAGGCGTCCGCACACGCAGCGTCTTCTGCAAGCGTAAGATCTCTGCCACCGAGGAGAAGGCCTTGGATGATGCTTCTTGCACCCATCCACGGCCAAAGATGCTTGAGCCTTGCAATAACCAGACGTGCCCTCCGGAGTGGGTCACCCTGGACTGGTCTGAGGTAAGTGCTCACCTCAGCCCTCACCTCTCTGATGGCACTGCTCCTTAGGACAGTGTCATTCACTGGCCAGAGCATCGGTGATGACTGCTGGCCATGGAGAGTCTGTGGGAAAGGGTCTTGTAGCTCAGGAGACAAGCAAGGTGGGAGCACTGGTGGGGAGAGCCCGTGCCGCCGCTCTCTGCTCTTTGCCGTGCATCCTGACCGCCTGTGTCCTCTCCTTGCAGTGCACCCCAAGCTGTGGGCCAGGTTTCCGCCACCGCATTGTCCTGTGCAAGAGTGGTGACCACAGCGCGACTCTGCCCACCTCCCAGTGCTACGAAGGCTCCAAGCCCCCGACCAGCATGAGGTGCAACCTGCGGCGCTGCCCACCACCACGCTGGGTGACCGGCGAGTGGGGAGAGGTAGGGACGATCCTGTCCATGGGGTTATTGAAAGAGAAGACTCTGCCTCCCCCGCCCCTCAAATCGTAGTCCACGTGGGGCTTTTACCTGCTAGCAGAACCCAGTGTGGCCACCACAACTATCTGGGGAGCAGCAGGACTCTGTGGTGATGTTTTTTGTCCCCCCTTGCCTCAGCAGTGCACACCTGACCCAGGGAGTCTTGTGGGCTGAGCAGGGCACCACAGAAGTCGTCAGAGTGTCCCTGTGGGTATCTGGGGGGCAGCAGGGCAGTGAGGATGGCGAGCAGTGCAGTGGGAGTGACGGGCTGCGGGGGTGGGCTGGGCTGGCTGCAAGTGAGGCCACTGCTGGTCCACCTGCCACAGCCCATCCCAGCGCCTGCAGCGGGGTGATGCTGACAGTCCTCCCTTCCCTCTAACACCCCTCGAGCGGCAGGGTGACATCGGGGTGCAGGAGGCCTGGGAAAGGCCAGTGATTTAGGGCTGAATGGAGACACCCTCACTGAGCCCCAGAGTGCTAACCAAGCTTTTCAGGAAGCAGGGCTGCAGCGCTCAGTCGTGCTGGTGAGGTTCCTGCAGGTGTTGGGAGGGAAGGGACAACTGCATCCAGCACCCTTTGCATCTCCTAAGGCCTGGCCATGCCTTCACCTCCAGAGTTACTAAAGCCATGGCAGTCCTAACCCTAAAGCCTAAAGCGGCTCCATGCTGTGCTGTTTCCCGGCAGTGCTCTGCGCAGTGTGGCCTTGGCCAGCAAAGAAGATCCGTCCAGTGCCTGGCTCACACCGGGCAGCCATCCAGTGACTGTGCGGAGACCCTGCAGCCCCCTGGCATGCAGCAGTGTGAGACCAAGTGCGAATCGGGACCTACGGACAACCCTGAAGGTGAGGGAGATGGGGAGACCAGGGAGGGAAACGTGGAGCACTGCCATCCATGGGGCTACATGATACAGGGACACCAGAGCCCCCACAGCCCGAGTTGGGCTGCAGGTGCTGTGGGGTACAGCTGTCATGGGGAGACTGCTGCTGTCCTCTCTGACCCCAGGCCAAACTGGCATGCTGTGACCCTGGTAAGTGCAGTAACCCTCTGCAAAGAGAGGCTTTCAGCAGTGAGGTTCTCAGTAGCTTCTTGTAGCTGCATCTTGCTGCTTCCTGACAAAACGCCCCCAGGAGCTGGGCACTGGGGTGCAAAAGGACTTGCACAGCCCCCATGGGGCTGCTCACCCCGAGGCAGCTGTAACCCTGCTTCCCTCTGTCGCCCATCCAGAGTGCAAGGATGTGAACAAGGTGGCCTACTGCCCGCTCGTCCTGAAGTTCAAGTTCTGCAGCCGGACCTACTTCCGACAGATGTGCTGTAAAACATGCCAGGGGCACTAGGGACACAGCGTGACCCCCATGGGAAAACTGGAAGGCAAAAGCTACGCCGGAGGGCCACTGAGCCGTGCCCTTCGTCTCCGCCCCGGGAATCTCCCCTGGGTCCAATACAGACACTGGTCGTGCTTCCAGTGGGAGCCGGCGTCACCCAAACCCGTCCCCCAAAGACATGCACCCTTCGCCCCCGAGCTTCGCAATGGCAGGTTCCCAGTTAAACCACTGCCAGCCACTGCAGACACCACCATGGCCCGCTGCAAAGGAGCCGGTCGATGAGCAGTGGGGAGGGAGGAGCTGAGCAGAGCGCGGCAGCAGGGACATTACTTGAAATTCTGACGTTGTTATTTATTAGTAGCGGACCCAGGTCCTGCAGGCGCTGAGACAGCCACCGAAGCGGCCCCACTCGCCCTGTTCCTGCCTCGTCTGCTTCCACATCCGTGTCCCGAGGGCATCATGGGACATCATGCTCACAGGGGGACGTCCCCGGGGGGGCTGAGCGCGCTGGGGGCCTTTCCCTTGGGGATCCCAGGGGAGACAGGGAGGAGGTTTCAGGTGCCACGGGCGACAAGCGTGGCTTGTGGCTTCTGGGTGATGGACGAAGATGAGCTGTCGTGGGGAGGGGGGTTGGGGCAGAATATGGTTTTCAGGGTTTGACTCCTGTCATCTTGGGACACGCAGCAGGGGACGGACAGCAGGTCGCACAGTGAGCAGAGCAGTGACACCAGTTTAATTGGGAGAGGGGGTTATTCAAATTCTCTTAACAACCTACTTTGATGGGGGTGTCCCCCTGTTTTTCCTCAAAGCCCTTGTCACTCTTAGGACCATTTTTTATTCTAGAAACACCTCAGAGCGCAAGCTGAGGTCAGGGCCGAGGCATGCTTGGGGTTGCAGTCACTTAATGGGTGTCAAGGACATGCTGGGCTGCAGGAATCAAAGCAAAGGAGGATGCAGGGTGAGAACTGTCTCGATCACAGTGTCCCCAGTGCCGAGCCATGACTTGGGACCATCTGCCTGGTCCTGGCAGGGCCCTCCCCAGCAAACGCCATGGCCTTGAAAGGTGCATTACTTCCAAAGGTGCTTTACTTCCAAAGGTGCTTTGCCTCTGAAAGGTGCTTTGCCTCCGAAAGGTGCTTTGCCTCCAAAGGCAGCCTTGCCGCATGCTGCTGTGGCCTCAGGGTGCCTGGTCCCAGTGCCACCCGCTCCTCTGCCCCAGGAGACCTCTAATGATGGGAAAAGAGCAGGCTTGAAATTCCCCCAGGTCACCTCCTGGCTAGTTCTGGGCTGACACACAGCAATTCCTGTGAGGAATGGCTGAGGGAGCTGTGGGGGTTCAGCCTGGAGAAGAGGAGGCTCAGGGCAGACCTGATCGCTCTCTGCAGCTCCCTGAAAGGAGGGTGCAGAGAGGTGGGGTCGGTCTCTTCTCCCAAGTGACCAGTGATAGGACAAGAGGAAAAGTCCTCAATTTGCACCAGGGGTGGTTCAGATTGGGTATGAGGGAAAATTTCTTCCCTGGAAGGGCTGTCAGGATTGGAACGGGCTGCCCAGGGAGGTGGTGGAGTCACCAGCCCTGGAGGGATTTAAGTCGTGTGTGAGTGGTGCTTAGGGACATGGTTTAGTGTTGGGTTAACGGTTGGACTTGATCTTAAGGGTCTTTTCCAACCTGAATGATTCAGTGATTCCCCATGGGCCACTGCAGCCTGCCAAGGAGACCTGAATTTCCAATCTACAAAGCACGTGCTTTTTTTTAGCATTACTGTTGTTGTTGTTATTATTTTCGGGACTTTCTGCATCACAGAGATGGGAAATGTTATCCAGAGCCATGTTCTGTTCCCCTTGGGGGTCATCCGCACAGTGCAGGGAGGGGGACAGCCCTCTCTCCCCAGAGCAAGCCCCTCTGCCCTGCCAGCCCACGTGTCACTCCCGTCTGTATTCTTACCCGCTCGCCCGCCGCCGCAGCCGTTCTGGTACTCGGCAAACCCCGACTGGCTGTCGAGCGGGCCTTCGTTTGTCTTCCTTCCTGGTGCCATGCTCCGTTCTGACATTTTGGTGAGGGGAGGGGGTGTTTTCACCTTTTTATATAGATATATATATAATGAAAAATGTTTAACATACTAACTCTGAGGAGGAGCGACATAACGGCATGATTTATAATAAAGGAGTAGCTACGATCCCGGGTGCAGCTTCTGGTCCCAGTCTTGTTTCTCCAGCAGCAAGTCCGGGCTCTGGGCAGCCCCGCACCACGATCTCCTTGTGCTCGTGCAGAAGGAGGGGTTTGGGCAGCAGGGAAGGGTTTTCCCTGCAGTGACCGGAGCGGGTTGGAGAGGTGGCGATTGGCCCGGCATACCTGTTTTCTTTGCCCCTTCTTGTTTGCTTTCTGGTGGGGGGCTGACCACTGCCAAGGAGCTGGGCACGCACCGAAGGACCCTTGGGTAGGGCAGGAACCACGCAGTGCAGTGGGGCTGGGGACCGAAGGACCCTTGACAGGAACCACGCAGTGCGGCGGGGCTGGGGACGGCAGCAGCATCGCAGGGAGCTGGGGTTTGCACAGGTGCCTTTGCAGCCCAGGGCTGTTGCATGAAGACGTGTCCGTCTGCGCAGGGTTTGCAGGAGCACTGGCTCTGCAGTCTCAGTGAGGACATCACTGGGGCTTTCCCCACTCCGCTCCAGCAATGGTCTTTCTGAAATGGCTTTGGCCCATTCGAGGCCAAAATGTTTCCTCGTGTGGCTTTTTTTATTGAAAAGACATGAAAAAAAAAGCAGCAACCAAAAGCATTTTGCTCCTGAAACCACCTTAACATAGAGCATCCCCGAGCACTGACTTGGCTGCCCCAGGAAGGGCCACATCAGACTCACCTCGGGGCAGGGGACAGGTTTATGGAGGCTCCGAGCATCCCTGACGGACTCCACCCAGCATCCACCCACTCACCCAGGTCGGTGACCCCCAGCACCCGTCTGCAGCAGAGGTGGTGGGGTGACCCTGGGCAGAGCCACCCTAAGGCCACCCCCTGCAGCAGAGAGCCACGCTTGTCCTCCCCACCCCCAGCAAACAGACACGAAATGAGGAAGTGGGAGGAGGAAAAAAAATTAGTTGAAATCTGTAGTTGCAGCAGAAACACAAGAGCAAGTGCTTCGGGATGGCCCTGAGCCCTCGGTGACAGTAGCCCCAAGTGCCCCGGCCCCACGGCAAGACACAGGGACACCATGGTGAGTGCAAGCGGGGCCCTTGCTGGGGTCCCCCCACCCTGTCTCCCTTGGGCACCCTGGGGATGTCACCCTCTCTTCCTGCCACCTCGTCTCTAAGCTCTGTCCTCTCCTGCACCCATTGTGGTCCCTTGCTGCTTTCTGGGAGGTGCCAGGAGCCTGCCCAGTGTCCCCGCTGGAGAGGGGACAGCGCTGCCCAGGCTTGGGGACAGGGAGGGGAGCTGGGGCTGGGTGAGGCACTGGCACAGGGCGCAGTGGTGGGGGGCAGCCGGGGATGGGTGCCAGGTGCTGGGTGCAGGATGGGTGCCCTGGGGGGTGATGCCCCAAGCAGGATGGGGGGCACCAGGTGGGGAGACTGGGCTGACACAAAGTGGGTCTGTTCTTGCCATCCCCAGCGCGGTACCCACAGGAATGAGCCGTGTTCCTCATGGCCCAACTTCCCACCAGCACCGATGGTTTTGGCGCTCATGGTGCTGGCAGGGTGTGGGCAGAGTGCAGGGGTGGGGGCAGCTGCACCCTCCCAGGCCAGGAAGGACCCTTTGGATGTCAGTGCCCAGGGTTGGACCTTGCACCCTGGCACACGCAGGGACCAGGGGCTGCGAACAGGTCATGGTGCTGCTGAAACAGCAGCTGCCCGAGCTGGAAGTTGTGGAGGCAGAAAAGGCAGACGAAAGCTCTCAAAATCAGGGTGATGCTCAGGCATGGAGGAAGGGTCTGCAAGGTGTGGCCGCAGCCCTGTCCTTCAGCCCACGGCTCTGCTCCCGCCATGTCTCAGGGCGATGCTGCCCCCAGACATTTCCACCCAGCCAGGGAGGGGACGGTGGCCAAGCTCACACAGAGCCTTCTCCCACCCGTGGTCTCGGCTCCCACCTCCGAGAGGCTGCTGAGATGCTGTCCCCAGCAAGACGCAAACACCGTCCCCTCCTCACCACCACGACCTCAATTCTGTGGCTTCACGAGGGGCCGTGGGGCTGCACAGCCACGACCCCAGCCCTTGATGGGGCCCAACTCCAGAACCAGCCCCCACCCCCAAACCCTGCCTGTCACTGGGAGCTGGCAGGGTTGTGACAGCCATGCAACAACCACACTGCTCTTCTCGAGGCTTCCGGTGGTTTTAAGGTGTTGGCTGCATCTGGGCTTGCCCTGTGTCAAGACAAAAGGTACCACCTTAGGCTGCGTCTGCTCCACACTTGGGGTTTTTTTTAGTGGCTCAGAACTGAAATTTGAAGAAAAACATGATGTTTTGCAATTGCTGCCACAGGGCTGCTCCCCTCCCTGCCTCAGCGATCCTATCGTGAGCACCGGCTA